AAAAAAAAAGCTTGAGCTGAGCGTGGCGTCTGCAAAATAAAAGAAAATTGTTTTAAATAAGTGTTTTGGGTGTGGCAGTTTTTATTCTTTCTCTCCCCCTTCCCTCTCTCTTTGCAACTAAAACAAAAGGCGTGCTTTGGCGGTTAGGGATGAATGGCATGAGCCGCACAGAGGCAATGGAACTGTTGCTGCGCACATGCTCCTGCGAGGGTGGGCGGAAGGACGTGGCCCGACTGTTGGACCTGCAGCGTGTTGCAGAGGAGCGCGTAAGTGACGTGGATGAGGCGGTAGAGGTGGAGGAGGAGGGGGAGGGTGTGAGCGCGGTCGATGAGGTATTTCGTCACCTCAATGAGGAGGATGGGACTCCCACGTGCCACATGGATCCCCCACCACTCTTTACCATAAACGCCAAGGAACTCTGGGAGGCATTTCCCTCGTGGTGCCGCGACACTGAGGTGTGTCGTCGACGGGATGGCGGTGCCTCTCATCCACGGCGCTCCTTTGTGTGCTGCGCATGGAACTCCGCGCGCGTTGCGGGCGGCCTCACGTCGACGGGGAGTAGGCGTCCGGCGGTGGTGTACCGAAGCCCGTGGGTAGGCCGCTACCAGGTGCCCCTCACCACAGTGGGTCTCGATGGTGATGATGACGACGACGACGGCGGCGTGAAACAGTTGGAGAAGGAGGCAAACACCATCGCAGCAGCACAGGCGAAGGAGTTATTGTTGGAAACAGTGGACTATGAAACGTCAGACGTCTTTAGCATGGAGCTGGGGCGGCGGCTCAACCACGCGCTGCAGGAGTACGCCGTGCAGTACCTTGGCACATCGAGCCGCACGCCCAACGAAGGAGAGGCGTCTGCGGCTTCGTCTACTTGTATGTGCGCTGCAAGTGCATTTGTGCGTAGAGTCACATCCGTGGATGTGGCGGCGGAGGTTGATGGCCCCGTGATGCTGGAAGTGGTGGCAGTGGTGTGCGTCGACGCTGCATCAGAGTCGCTGCAACCGAGAATGTCTCTCTTCTCTGCCAACGCAGTAGACAGTGAAGGGGAGCTAGATGAGGCATCGTGCACGATGCCCCCTGCCCCTTTTTCGGAGGGGCCGCCGCAGAGACGATGGTCCGCGGGGCACGCGTTTCAGCTGCAGCTGAGCACCACACAGCTACAGCTCCGTCACGACAGTGCCCATCTTGTGTTGAACACTAGTATACGGCACCACGAAAGTAAGACGCTTGCAGGCAACAGTTATGATAGTGTGCGGCTCTTCCCCAAACGTCACGGACGCCCAGAAACATTGCCACTTCCACGGCGGGCAGAAGGGGACTCCGAGTTGAGTACAGCACCCCGACACGAGAAAAAGTCTGACAATGCGGTCCTCGAAACGGTTGACCTGGACGCCCTTGTGTGCCTTTTATGTGCCCGTGTGGAAAAGTCTGACAATGCTGTGGCGTGGCATGTTGTGGCACCAGTCGTGCGTGTGACACTGCCGCTGATGGCACCATCTCCAGCCCGAGTGTGGGACAAGGTGTTGCACAGAGGGTCCGGCCTTGTCGCCGCTGCCGCTCTGAAGGCCGCAGAGCTGGCCGGCAATTTCAGCGAGACGGCGTGAAGGGGGTATGCATCAAGGACTCTACCATTTCATCGAAGGGACTTCTCTGCGCATGTCTCTTTTTCTTGTTGTGCGGCCATGCTGCATGGCCACCCATGCGTCTTCCTTAATTGCTGCTGTTTTGCAATTTTACATATATATATACGTCGTCTGCCTTTCCACATTTCTCTACACATAATCAATGCAGAGTCATGTCACAGGTGCAGTCTCACATTGATGAGCTCCGGCGTCGCTTTGAGAATGTCAGAGTTGTGCGGCAGATACCCTCTGAGACGCTGCTGCAGGTAGACCAGACCAGCACCAACTGTGGGTACTTGCTGGTGCTTTACGTCGCACTGGATGCAAATTTTCCCCGCTCACCCCCAACCGTGGCGTACTTCAACGGACGCAGAATCTCTATCGCGGCGGAAACTGGAACCGCCGACGTGTGGGATCCGGCGAAGTCGAGGCTCGCGGATGCCGTTTCAAACGCATTTGCTAACCTTGCAAACATGTGGGGCAGCGTCGGTCCACCGTCCATGAATCAGATTTCCAGCCAGCTTTCCTTGCTTTCGGATTCAATGCTGCAAGACATTATATCGTACCCCAGCTGCTTGGAGTCTTACGCGTACCAGCTCCCCTTTACCAAGGGTATTCGTGACGCGAGTGGACAGACCATTGACGAGATTGAGCGGGTGGCCAAGGAAAACTTGACGCTGCAACCTGAAGTTGCACAACTGCAAAAGGAGGTGGAAGAGCTTCAGCAGCGCCTCAGCGACCAGATAGGGAAGTTGCAGGAGATGCAGGGATCTTTAGCATTGCTGAATTCCATCAAATCCCCTGAGGTTCTCGCAAAGACGTTTGCGGCAGATGTGAAGACCCTGGACACGCAATGCGACGACATAGCAAAGGATTTACTGGCAGTAAACTACAGCACTGACAAGCGTCGCTTCGATGAGCTACTAGAGCAGTATAGGCTAAGGGCAAAAGAGCGACACATCATGGACCTCAAGAGGCGCGCGTATTACGCGTCAATTTCCTGAAGCCGGAAGACATTGATGTTGCTTGTGATAACGATGGTGCCGATGGTGCATATGGCTGCTGTTGGGGGTGTACGCCGCCCTTAGTATAGTTTTTTTTTTTTTGG